GACATTAGACATAAATCATCCGTGAAGTCCATATCTTCTAGATACCTCGAATAGAAGTATGCACTGAAGCTGTTGCCTGGTAGTGCAATAAAAGCTTTACAAATTAACTATCCAGTTCAGAGAACATAAGCACATCAAAAAGATACTTCTTCTTCTTGATGTAAGCTGCCTGTCTTCTCTCTCACCACGGTCTGTTGAATGATCCAGCTCACTGCAATCAGGAATATTATCAGATGGTGGGATCATTGTCCTACTCCTGCCTTTCCTTCAAAGGCTTCACTAAACTTTCCTTTATGAATTACTTGATTTATGACATCATCACATAGCTGTTGAATGAGGTTGATAAAGTTTTCGGGTACTTCAGTTTTCAAATTCCTTAACAGTCGACTATATCGAAGGCCATTTTAAAGTCAATGGAGTTGGGGTGGATAGGTGACTCTCATTCTCTACTCTATTCAATAATGATTTGTATTATTCTATATATGAAATTAATTGTTTTGCTACTTGACATTTAGCTATGATTATAATCACAAATATTTTAATCTTATTTCATACTATTATTACTTCATGTGTTCACACTTTTGATCTAATTCACTCACGGGATATAATTTCTTAAAAACCATACATATACCATTGTACAGCTTGATAATAAATTCGTTGTTGGAGAGTCTCTTCTCTGAATATTGTCTTCCTAATAATATTAATTCTCAAATATCATCAAATTATGCGTACTAGGAGCCGATATGCCAACAGAGACCGAACATTTTAGTCGAATATACTTAATCAATAGGAAATACAAAATTAAATTAAAAACAAGCAATTTTCTCCTATTTTATTCCTTTGTTTTCCCAGTAGAACATAAAGCTTCATTTCTGAGCTCTGAAGTTTGATTGGCAATTGTGTTGTCTTTACAGGAGGGGGTGGGGGTTGCCAGACTCAAACCCAACTTCCCCTATTTTCTCTAGCGTAAAATTGGTTAAGCTAGGTTTGTGAGTGTGTCGTTCGTGTGGGAGTCGAACCCGGATTGAGTGTATGGTTGGCGAGCATTCTAACATTGAATTACTGCCTTAGTAAAATAGGTGAGGTTTTGAATTGTACTGGACGGGTATGCAACTTGAATCTTCTATATGGGAGGAAGGCTTTTTATTCACTATTCGTTAACCGTTGTCTATATGTTTCATTTGTTTATATAAATTCAATTATATCTGATTTTCTTTGTCTGGGAAAATTTTGTTTACCATTTTCCTGGCCACTGTTTTTGAACAACTTATGAAGATGGTTGATTCCTAAAATTGGTTGAAGTGACAAGCCATGCTTGCGCACCTATGTAAGGCATAGAGTTGGGGAGTAGTTGATCCTGTTGATTTCAGGTGATCGAACAGGTTTACCAAAGGTGTACAAAATTGGCTTCTCGCTTCGACCAATTCTAGATATGTCAAGGTCACCATACTATTCCTAAAATTGTCTAAAAGACCTTAACCGGCTAATATATAAGAAAATGTGATTCACATTTTTTATGAGTTTTAACTTAATAAACTTAACAGCACCTACGAATCCTCATCGAACATAGAATAGAATGAGAGTCAGCTATCCACCCCAACTCTATCGCCTTTAAAAAGGCCTTCGATATTGTCAGATGATAAGAGGTCCGGAAACTGAAGTACCCCCAAACTTTATCAACCTCATTCAACAGTAACATGATGATGATGCCATAAGTCAAGTAATTCACAAAGGAAAGTTTAGTGAAGCCTTTGAAAGGAAGGCAAGAGTGAGACCGTGCCTCCACTATCAGTGATAATATTCCTAACTATGGTGAGCTGGGTGCTGCACCAGACCATGGAGAGAAAGAAATCAGGCATATCTTAGACCAGGAAGAAGAAGACTCTAGTGGATCTGGACTTCACGGATGATTTATGTCTAATGTCACAAAAACTAGAAGATCTACAGATAAAACCAACCAGCTGTCAGAAGAAGTAGAGGAGACGTCAATCCAAATGAACATAGAGAAGGCAGAGATGAAGAAAATACCTGACCAACAACAATATGCAATAAGTGCCATCAACGGGAGACATTTGAAGAGGGATATTTTCTTTCACTTCTCTAGACAACATCATTCCAATTACAGGCTTCACTGATGAGGATGAAGAAAGTCAGTCGGGATGAGAAAAGCGAAACAGACCTTTATTTATCTGAAATCAGTATGAGAATCTACTGTATTCAGAATAAGAAACAAGAAGTCTAATTCCATGGTGTCACGTAACTCATCTCCATCATCACACATGCCTAATGAACTCTTATTTATTTTTATTCATGTATCTCATCACTTTTACTCGAGTATATAAACGAAGGAAGACAGTTGTGTGAGACGTACGTTGATATGATTATGAGCAACAAATTGTTCTCGAAAAGTTGTCATCAGTAAATAATACTGTATAACACAGTGTGACTCAATCCAAATAAATTGTATCCATAATATTTTTGCAAGTTAGTTTTTGATGAATTAAGGATAGTGTTTCATATGGATATTAGATTTCATGTCATTTCTTTCTACATCCATACCGTTACAAATATATTTAGTAAATTCTATGCACGGATCCAACCATACTACTGGATATTATCATTACTACTAACTAGGAACGATCTTTACTTTGTTGTTAATCTTGGCTGCCAGTATCTAACTGACTGAGTGACTTTACAAGGTGGAACTTAGTACCAAAGCGCTCACTAACGGCAAACGACATGCTGCTACACTATTCAAATACATAAGAATAAATGCGTCTATATATTAGTTCACCTATAATCATGTCTTTTGAATGACTTAGAAACATGCTGTATACCGTCACACCAGAGTGCATCAGTCAAGGCCTTCTCATTTAGTAGAAAAAAAGCACGAAGTGAGAAAAAAGTGATGTTAAGCAACTATAACAAAAGAAAATGTGTGGAAGAAAGAGTAATGAGGAACATGAAGAATATAATTATTCGTCTTATGTTGAGAATAATGGGGATTTAATGAATCCGAAAGGTCACAATGTATCAGTGCACGTGTGCCACTCAGAACGATACTGAGACATATCATCAACGTCCTTGAGTCATTGTTTCTTGGCGTCTCGAGGATATGAGCCAAACCGGCGTTCAACGATTTTATGGAATAATATGGGTTTGTGGTCTGACAGCTACTAGTTGTTTCGCATCTTACTAGTATATTAGCTAACACTGCTCGTCAAGGAAGCTAGTGGGTCAAAATGTCTCAACCGTCTCACTCTATCTAACTTCATAGAGTCGTGGATTGATTTTTCTTTATATATAATATTGGATGAGACGGGTTCGAATCTCAGAGGGGACATGATATCTTTTGAGTTTTCAGACGTACCTTGCTGACGAGGGCCAACAGGCACGAAATCCAAAGTTCAGGGTTTCCTGGCTATTCCCTCTCCCCTTCAAACTACCTAAAACTGTTTGCCTAACTACATTATAACTAATCCCGTTATGCCACCTAAATGAGGAATTTGACACATGGGTAACTGGTAACTATTTATGTAGATGTAAAGATTCTTATAGTTTAAGGCAGAGGATATTGATGAGTATCTTGGTAAATTTAACAAATATGACAATGATCGTATATGTCGAGTTTGCATGAAAGCATTGAAATGTTATAAACCTAATACTGACCGTGATATATACTACTACTGGAAAACATGGGAGTATTGGACAGCTGCTTTGTCATAATTAGGCACTCTCCACCAATATGCGCCCACCGGGGTTCGAACCCAGGACCTTCTGGTTACTGATGTCAGCTTATGATAAAATCCTCCAACCAAAACTAGTACTTGAAAATTAATCTGATGCTCACTAGCGACTGGCCCTATTCGGGCAGTTGACCTGGGGTTATAGTGGGAAGTCGTGACCAGTAGGGTACAGCAGATTGAAGGTGAGGACAGTGACTCATCGAAGAAAACATTGCGAAGTGTTCGCTGTATGTCACGAATTGGCAGAAGTTAGAATTCATGGGTCATTCGATCGGGTCCTAGTGGCTTAATGATCTACGAGCTTGCCTTGTAACCAGAAGTTCCTGGGTTCGAAGCGCTACGCTGAGTGCGTGCTGCTGAAGAGTCCCAAACAAGGCTAACGAAATAGCTGTGCAGTACTCCAAAGTCTTCAAATGGTTCTCTAACCGATGTCAGCTCATGATGAAATCCTCCAACAAATTAAACGAAATCCCTTCAAAACCAATACTTGAAAATATACTACATTGAAAGTGCACAATGAAAGCATCACTGCAGTTAATTTCAACTACACATGTCTCTACCATAATTCAATTCATGTGACCTAATTTCTCTCTCTCTTTCTTATTCTCTTCTTTATCGAACTTTTCATATGTTTATATTTCATCCATGACCTTTAAACAAGCTAAATCCTTTTGTTAATTCTTCCTCTTTTTACCAATCAACTTTATGCGTAGATTTAAAAAAGGTCATTTTCCGTCTGCTCTTGTGTGGGTTTATATGCTGTTTAACTTTTTAATCTGCCCAAAGCCTATTTCATTCAGTGCTGAATGACTAAACATAGAATGACCTCATTCTGTTTACATTGACAACAACAACAAAAATCAATATAAAGGCTAGATTAACTCCAATTTAGGCTTATACTGTAGCCACATAGCTATTTACCTCACCTCTATCCTAATAATGTAGGCAGGGTACATATTTGTCTGCCCGCATCAGACAAAGTACATCGTTAGTGTATACGTTAGTACCAACATCATGTTTGTTCGGTTGAACTACTACTCAAACTATCAGGCAAACACCATCCAAAACTGTTGTTTGCCTTTGTAGTTGTGTTGTGAAAATAAAACATGTAAGGGCTGTCCGACTGTCAATTCACGTTATTACTTGTAACTTGTTTAATGTTTTTCGCAAATGTAGGATCTCCTCGTTTATCTTTATCTAGTGCGTTGGTGGCACAGTGGCTAGAACTCTCGCCGACCATGCACATGGTCCGAGGTTCGATCCCCTGCCGACGAACACCTGATATCTATGGTCGGCCTGTAAAATTTGGGCTACCGATATCCATGCTGAAAATTCCATACTTGTACCAAAACTACGGTTTGGAATCAAGCTGTAATCAAAAATAAAAAATATTTAAAAAAAATCTTGGTGAGTGTAACGAAATAATTGTTTGGAAAACCCCTCGTGAACGATCAGTTTACAATATTGATACTTATTTAATTGAATTTTTTAGATTCACTCGTCGACTGATTGGACCGAAGTGCTCGGTCTCAGGTTGACATGTTGGCTTCTTGAGTAGATGCTCCGACGATGTCTGGGTATATAATTAGAGGTTAATTGGTGGATGATGACTAGCAGTGGAATCCAGGATGCACGTTTCGTCCTATTTGGGACTCGTCATCTAGATGTACCTGCATTCCCCAGTGAGTGATGATGTTTCACTGCTATTCACCACCCACCAATTAAATTCTAATTACATGCTCAAACATCGCCGGAGCACCTGGAAAGGAAGCCAACATGTCAACCTGAGACCGAGCACTTCGGTCCAATCAATCGACGGGAAAACCTAAAATTCAATTAAATACTTTATATGACCCGTTGCACAAAAGGTGGCTCTCGTGGCTCAAATGGTCTAGTGGATAACGCTGTGACGTTCGAGCCTCGGTGGGAACATCATCACTCACTGACTGGGAATGCAGGTGCATCCAGCGACGAGTCCTAAATAGCACGAAATGCGCATCCTGGATTCCACTGCTAGTCACCATCCACCAATTAAATACTGATACCTGTTAACTTAATCTTTAATATTGGTTTTTGTCCTAGTTTAATCCCTTATTTAAATGTTTCTCTTTGCGGTTATGTGATAGTGTTAATAATGTGTTGTTTTGCAGTTGTGATTTTGTTTCAATGAAGTCAAGGTATGCCGTGGGGATTTTGATCTTGGATTGTCTGCAAGAAGTGTTTAGTTTCCAGCTTTCAGACTACAACACTTTGGTTTTGATCACTACAGTCAGTAGGATGAGTTTACTTAGAGGAGTTAGGTAATTGTGACTCTAAAGCAATAGTGTAGATTGGCTCAGGGATCCGAAAGGTTTGAATGATATTCAAAAAAAAGTTTTCAATACCTGTAACTACGGGAATGTTGCTGCTGATGTTGCTTTGTTGTCTTGTGGATCAAGCACCTCGAGTAGAAAGTTCAGGAAATTGTCGTATCCATTTCCCTTTCCAAATAGTATCTGGGCCTTTGCACAAAATACGATAAGTCGATTCCTTAGGTTTGCAATTCAGTATAGCACTCCTGCTATTAGTCACTTAAGTCTCATAGTCTGAGTAGTAACTAGCTGGTGGGACAACTTCTTTCTAGTCATTTCCACTTTTGCCCCAAGGGAGGGCATCAACTAAGAATAACATCTACCGTTATCCGAGTTGTCTCATAGACGCTGTACAGATACAATAGTGTTAACTAGGGAAGTGTTGAGTACGTAACAATGTGATTGTACACTTTTTAGGTACTTGTATAAATTCGAGATATTGTACATAATTTTTGTTTAAATCGCTTCTTGTTGAAATATACATAATTTCCGTGTACAATTGAAAAATACACTCTGCTGTTGGAGACTTCGTCTTCTCCCTGGTCACTTCTACTTACTTGCTCCACTCACACCGTGTTGTATACTTCGGATTTATTGTAGGAGCCTACTACTTTCAACCGAAGACATTTCTACAACCGGAACACAGCAGCTACAGCAGACGCAGTCCAAACAGTTAACGTGCCTGTGGATTATATAATTAATTTGTAGCCGAGGACTTACACTTTATAACCAAGTAATCCTTTTTGTTGCTATAACTCGTCACTGTATTTTTGGTAATATATTGTGATTTAACACTCCACTGACTTGGATTATTACTTTTATACTTGGAATGTTAGTGAACTCTAATATTAGTCCCCTACAAATTAATTGGTGAGCCCGATAAGAACACGGATTATTTTGGCATATTTATATTCTTATTTTTGCTATTTTTATATTCATTGTGATTTTGTGTGTGGTTTATATTTGTATCCTAATTTGCACCAATAACCTCATATTAATAATGTCATCACCTCAGTCCGGTACATCAAACGAGCAGACAACTAATAGCGAGACAAATGCCACAATAAATGCCATCACTGATTTTCGTTTACCCCAATACGGTTTCGCAGAACCAAGGATTTGGTTTGCGGTAATTGAACCGTTGCTAGAAGCACGGGGCATTAAGTCCCAAATAGCCAAATATGGTATGGTGCTGGCAGAACTCCCTCCGTCAGTATTGACAGAAATCAGCGATTTCATCGAAGATCCTCCGACGGAACATCAATTTGATAAACTTAAAGCCCTCCTCATACAACGTACCAGTTTGTCGGATGAGAAAAGAATCCAACAATTGCTCACAGGCTGTGAACTAGGCCCACGTAAACCATCCCAGCTGCTCAGGCACATGCGCCAGTTAATCGGACATCATAAAGTAGACGAGGTAGTGCTGAAACAGATGTGGTTGCAACGTTTACCTAGAAATGTCCAGCAAATTTTAATCATCTCAGGAAAGTCGTATGACTTAGACCAACTAAGTGACATGGCAGATAGTATTTTGGATGTTTTATCCGATAACACCATAAGTCACGTAGCATCTGATAGTGCCACACCGTGTCATTCCACACCCACGGCAGACACACCGATACTCGCCGCCATTGCAGACTTAGCGGCAAGGATTGACAATTTGGAAACTAATAAGTCTGATCGACAAGTCCGGAGACGGAGTTCACAAAGAAGGTCACCATCACGACGACGATCCTTCTCACGACAGCGTTCTTACACGTCTTCTCGGGATAGCAATATATGCTGGTATCACTGGAAGTTTGGACGTCATGCCCTGAAATGTGTAAAACCGTGCAGCTTTAGCGAAGCCAACCAGGCTCAGGGAAACGCCTCAGCCAGACAGTGATGGCGACAGCTGTTACTGGCAAGCAAACAAGTCGCCTCTTCTATGTGAAGGATAAAACTTCAGACACTTTATTCCTGGTAGACACGGGAGCAGAAGTTAGCGTAATCCCTCCTTCACTATCCAGGCGATCTACACGGACACCCGGAAAACTGTCTCTCCGGGCAGCTAACCACACAAGCATACAGACGTATGGAGAGCAATCCCTCATACTGGATCTAGGTTTACGTCGGCGTTTCACATGGATTTTCATAGTAGCCGACGTCAGTCACGCCATCCTCGGAGCAGATTTCTTGAGTAATTTCAACCTGTTAGTTGACGTCAACAATAAAAAACTGATTGATAACAACACCCATCTAAAGATCCATGGAATTATCTCCAGCTATTCTGTCTATAATATCAGTATTGAAAGACCAGCAGATTGCCCTTTTTCCTCCCTACTTCACCGTTTCCCTAAAATTCTTAAGCCGTCGTACAACATCGAGGACGTCCCTCACACAGTTACTCACAAGATAGTTACTACGGGTCAACCAGTTCGTGCTCGTCCCGTAGATTACCCCCGGACAAATTGGCAGCAGCCAAGGCAGAATTTGAACACATGATGCAGCTCGGCATCATCAGACCCTCCAATAGTCCTTGGTCTTCGCCCTTACACATGGTGCCTAAAGCTGATCATGATTGGAGGCCATGTGGGGATTACCGACATTTAAACAATGCCACAGTTCCCGACCGTTATCCTATTCCTCATCTTCATGATTTCTCCCTGACATTACACGGAAAAACCATTTTTTCTAAAGTAGACTTGGTCAGGGCCTATCACCAAATACCAGTTGCCCAAGAGGATATCGAAAAAACGGCCATCATCACACCTTTCGGTTTGTTTGAATTTCTCCGCATGCCATTTGGCCTAAAGAACGCAGCACAATCCTTCCAACGTTTCATGGATCAGGTCACACAAGGTTTGGACTTTGTATTTGTATATATCGATGACGTTTTAATTGCTAGCTCGTCGCCCGAAGAACATACTGATCACCTCACCATCTTATTTCAACGATTTGAGCAATATGGAGTCGTCATTAACCCCAAAAAGTGCATATTCGGTGTCTCCTCTATACAGTTTCTGGGACACCACATAACCACGAATGGTATTACGCCTACGGAGGAAAAGATAGAGTCCATCAAAAACTTCCCCGAACCAGATTCACTCAAGAAGGTCAGACGTTTTTTGGGGATGTTTAATTTCTATCGGCGTTTCATTCCTTCGTGTGCCTCCATCGTCCAGCCGTTAACCGACCTCCTTAAAAATGATCCTAAAAAGTTTCAGTGGTCAGCTGAAGCACGCGAATCATTTTGCAACGCAAAAGATGCCTTATCCAGAGTCACTATGCTATCCCATATCAACCCCGAAGCGTCGCTTATTTTGTGCACAGATGCCTCCCAAGTAGCTGTAGGGGCAGTATTACAACAAAAGATGAAGGGCGAAGTCACCCCACTCGCATTCTTTTCTAAGAAGTTGGAACCGGCTCAGACACGATACAGCACTTTTGGGAGAGAATTGCTGGCCATATATCTTGCAGTGAAGCATTTCAGTTACTTACTACAGGGCCGGCATTTCACTATTTTTACTGACCACAAGCCCCTGTGTCATGCTTTCACTACTTCACTTGATAAACACTCCCCTAGAGAAGCCAGACAGTTGGATTATATCTCCCAATTTTCAACCGACATTCAGTACATCAAAGGGGATGCGAACGTGGTAGCCGATTCTCTTTCAAGAAGTGACATTAACCAGCTCCAAACGTCGGTAGACATCAGTCTTGATCGTATGGCTCAATTACAAAGAGATGACGTTGAACTCCAAACCTGCCGCAGAAACTCTTCCTTACAACTCAAAGATGTGCCTATCCCCTTATCAGATGCAACCATAGTCTGCGATGTATCTACCGGCACTAATCGTCCATTTGTCCCTCTCAGTTGCCGAAAAGCATTGTTCGAACATTTACATTCGCTTTCCCACCCTGGAGTACGCGCCACGGTCAGGCTGATCAGCGAACGCTTCGTGTGGCCTAAAATGAACTCTGACATTCGGAGATGGGCACGAGAATGTATCCAATGCCAATGCTCCAAAGTACACCGCCACACTATTACAACCCCGAAGACGTT